TTCTGAATATGTCATGAATAATGACAAAGGGCTAAGGCTCCGTGCAGACTACAGTATGTGAATCCCAATCTGTTTTGATCATTTTATCTACTCGTTCACATGAAACAACTCGTTCACACACAAAAAAAACCAAATGTGAACGCAACACATTCGTTCGATCGATTTTTTTTAAACGCCATCACATGGCAATGTGTTTGCAGAAGTAAATATGTTCCCATGCGTCAGGGATAATTTTATCATCTCATACTGCCAAAGCAGCAATGTGGGAAGAGGTAGAAATATTTTGTAGATATGAGGCAACGCTCCTCGATCTCATTTGATGGACACATCTACTAAAGATGATGTCATGTCATTGCCATGCGTAATAAATGAACCGTCTGCATGGTTAAATTACTAATATAACCACAAGTCAACTTTATGCTTCATGTTTCAAGTGGATTTCAATTAAAGTCAAACAAAGACAGGTCTCTTATTCATAATGACTTTGCAGATTAACGGATTATCAGCAGTCTGTCAAGCACTTTCTGGCTTTTGATGACGTATAAGTCGGATGTATGCAGATGAGCATTTATACAGTGGACACATCACGTACATGTTCGATTTATATACATAAAGAGGCCAAGGTCGAATTTGAAAAAAATGGAATTATACTGTTCACACTGCGTGAAACAAATCAGATATGTGTCACTTATGGGGGGAAAAAAACATGCAAGTTGAAGCTTTCACGTGCTGTACTTATGATGAGGAAATACTGTATAAACTGTACACAAGCATGATTAAAAGATTGATGGCATGTTCACACAACAATTGTCATGTTTTTCTCTGAAGTTGTGGAACATTTTATCAAAAGGAACTTTCTGCGACCTCTGCCGCAGCAAACAAAAACAGTGGGATATACGGTGCATGCTTGACCATTCGCTGCTAATGCCATCAAGCGCATAACTGTCAGCTTCCTAGTCTTATACAGGAAAACGTTTTGAATACATTTCATTGCCCTACTGTGTACTGTACATGTATGTGGGTTTGGAGTTCATCGCATTTAAGCAATTAATATATGTCACCTGTTCATTGTAGCTATGCAGTAAATGTACGCAATACGGTCGATGGTGATTGAAATCAATTTCCAAAGATGACGGTTTTTAGTGTCAAGGGAAATGCTGCAGCTGTAACAAAGCACTTTACAGAACGCAGCATATAAACCTAACATTTCCAAAGATGACGGTTTTTAGTGTCAAGGGAAACGCTGCAGCCGTAACAAAGCACTTTTACAGAACACAGCATATAAAACTTCTGGCTTTTGATGACGTATAAGTCGGATGTATGCAGATGAGCATTTATACAGTGGACACATCACGTACATGTTCGATTTATATACATAAAGAGGCCAAGGTCGAATTTGAAAAAAATGGAATTATACTGTTCACACTGCGTGAAACAAATCAGATATGTGTCACTTATGGGGGGAAAAAAACATGCAAGTTGAAGCTTTCACGTGCTGTACTTATGATGAGGAAATACTGTATAAACTGTACACAAGCATGATTAAAAGATTGATGGCATGTTCACACAACAATTGTCATGTTTTTCTCTGAAGTTGTGGAACATTTTATCAAAAGGAACTTTCTGCGACCTCTGCCGCAGCAAACAAAAACAGTGGGATATACGGTGCATGCTTGACCATTCGCTGCTAATGCCATCAAGCGCATAACTGTCAGCTTCCTAGTCTTATACAGGAAAACGTTTTGAATACATTTCATTGCCCTACTGGGTACTGTACATGTATGTGTGTTTGGAGTTCATCGCATTTAAGCAATTAATATATGTCACCTGTTCATTGTAGCTATGCAGTAAATGTACGCAATACGGTCGATGGTGATTGAAATCAATTTCCAAAGATGACGGTTTTTAGTGTCAAGGGAAATGCTGCAGCTGTAACAAAGCACTTTACAGAACGCAGCATATAAACCTAACAACAATACAAACGCAACAAACCAACAAAATATTTGTTTCCATTCCTACATCCGCTTTGTTGTTTGAAGCGGGTATAAATGAAAGAGGAGCGATCCAAAATCTCTTTCAGTTGATACTTTGATCACAGAATGTATGACGGCACTCATGTCTGCTGCAAGTTAAGTTTGAAAGTAAACAAGCAACTGTCGCGTCCGTTGGTAAGTAACTTACACACAAACAAAAAGAATGGTTCAACTCTCCAGTTCCAATTATAGCAACATGGGGCTGTTGCAAAAAACACTGCCCATTTGTAGGCCCAAAAAAATAAGTGCCCTGTGGCCGTAAAGCGGCAATGGTCGAATAGCGCCGACATTCCCCTACAATAGAAACGGTGATGATGCATGCATGTTCTGCCGAAATGGCCTCACCATCAAACACCAATATTCTCCTTGAATGAATGGCACGGCCTAAAATGCCGAAGACAGTCAACATCGGGTCCAAACGACACACAATAAACATGAAATGACAAAAATGGTGGAAAAATACAAATCAAAGTGAAGAATGACCATATCTCTTGTCGCAGGCTGCCAACTCAAAGGCGCCATCCTCGAATTGAACGTGCAAAGAGATATATTGCTCCGATGTATAGTTTACAAATCACCGAGATAAACGTCATTCTCAAAAACTTACACTTGACCTCACAAATGTTTGTATTTTTAATTCAAATGACAATCATAATAATGAATAAAATCCAGAAAAAATTAGGGCAGCTTATTGACGATTGAGACACTGTGATTTGGCCTGTAGGTGACTGAACGCACCATTGCTCAGATAATCTGTTCCGTGGTGGTGGCATGTCTCAAATGAGGCGGTGCATGAGCAGGTGTGACTGAGTCAATTAAAAGTTTTAATGACAGGGAGGCGATGATGATGGAAAGAGGAGGGAGGAGCGGATCTGCATACCTAAGCGCAGGACTTTGTTCTAACGAGGCTCTCAAGTGCGTCGAAACGCTGCCAAGCTCCAGCTTAAGGCTGACGAACCGTCTATCTGTCGCTGCCAGTTTGCAATTGCTTCGTCTGTGCGGTCCCTTTTAGAAGTTCTTTGAGTGCAATTTCGAAAGTGAAAGAAATTAGCGAGCACTTTCAATTGTAACTTTGACACAGCAAGTAACGTTTGATTGTATTTGACAACCAACACATTTAATTCGTGGCTAAAACCAAGTCGTTTGCATTTTAAGACCAACTCGGGTATTCCTAACCTTCTACATTGTGTGGCTCGCTGTTGCCATCAACACATCCGGTGAGAAAATGAGTGTTGATTCTTCCACAATTGGATGGTGGCTGTTAAAAATAGTGACCTAGTTCTGATAAAACCTCTTATTCATTCTTTGCAAAAGCTGGATTGGCTTTCTATCTGTTTCATTTTCATTTTGTGACCAACTTCTTTCTCCAGCTCACTGAGTGGGCCTTGTCCCCAGGCCAGAAGGGATAATTAGATTTGGGAATGCAGGGAAAAAGTCAACGCCGTTGCCAATACAGTAGCACATGCCCAATACGGTGTAGATTATGCAAATCAGCAGAGCTTGCTTCGTTTTGAAATGTTCAGAGATAAACAGAGGGTTCAGACAGAGGACACCAGAAGGAGGCACATCATCTTGCTGTAATAGAGGCTGCATCACTCTCGTTAGGTTCAGTGGTTGTTAGAGCTATAGTACGCTGCGTTTTAGCAATGGATACCTATGGAGACGGCATTATTAACTGGGATTCTATCAACAATATGAGTGCCACACAATTGGTGTTACAGTAATCCCCAACTATATTTCAGTTCACGCTTTGCAGTCTAAATTGCATATTATATATATATATATATATATATATATATATATATATTCTTTTTTTTTTTCTAAGTTCCATTGCCTTTGCTTGCTCCCAACATGCCATGTGCTTAAATGTGTTTGTATTGTTTTAAAAAGTTTGTTGAAAGACTTTAAAAAGAAGTACTGTAAATGCTACATGCCGTGGGTGTATTTACATCTTGGATTTATGATGTCCATGATGAAATGAAGAATCTTTCTCTCAACTTAGCCTAATTGTATTGTTTTAAAAAGTTTGTTGAAAGACTTTAAAAAGAAGTACTGTAAATGCTACATGCCGTGGGTGTATTTACATCTTGGATTTATGATGTCCATGATGAAATGAAGAATCTTTCTCTCAACTTAGCCTAATATAAATAATTACTCGAGCACAGTGGTTCTTAACCCGGGTTCGATGGAACGCCAGGGGTTCGGTGAGTCGGTCTCAGGGGTTCGACGGAGCCTCTGCCATGCAGGGTGAGACACACTCGACTCAACATGTTAATTAGTTGTGACACGCCCACTTGGCCATGACTGGCTGCAGATGATCACATGACATTGCTTGTCAAATCAGTGCTGTGGGGAGTTTAGTTCGCTTAGTAGTCAACGTGTGACTGTCGGGATAGTACGTCGTACAATTTAAAAAAAAAAAAAGTATACTTATCTCTTGAAATGTTATTTACTTTCATCTGTTTTTAATAAATGCGGGGTTTTTTAATATCTTGAATTTGTGAAAAAAATATATATTTATTTTTCACTCACGAAGGGTTCGGAGAATGTGCATATTAACTGGTTGGGTTCGGTACCTCTGAAAAGGTTAAGAACCACTGTCCTAGACCCTCTCGGTTATATTACTTTCGCTAAATCTTTTGATATTTCACACAAAATAGAAAGCCAGAAACTGGCAGCCAGTCCAAACTTGAGCTTCCCCATGACCACACTGATGGAAAACAGTATAGAAAATAAACGGATGGGGTCTTGGTTATTGAATGACGACCTTTACGTGGTCCCCTTGTAGCCTAGTTTAACTGACACAGACTCCAGCTCAACCGTGACCCTGACGAGGACATGCAGTAGCAAATCTTTTGATGGAGTCTTGGTTATTGACTGGCGACCAGTCGAGGCTCTGAAGATGGTTGTCCAAGTGTTCTTGAGGAAGAAACTGAGGCCCTCTCTCTCTTATGTTGCCCTTTAACTATGTATTCTTGCTCTCCAGACCAGTGCAAAAGCAGCTACCAGGTGGGCTTCGACAACTCACTTCGGGTCACGTACGCCAATGGGATGGACACACACTACCAGACTGAGCCTCACATTCTGGCAGGAGCCGCCAACCCGACAGTGGCCCGGCGCAACATGAGCTTGCCGGGCGAGAGCGGGCAGAACCTGGTGGAGTGGCGTTTCCGCAAAGAGCAAGCCCGAGGGAAGGTCATCGTGTTCGGACGCAAGCTGAGGGTATGTTTGCTCCTACCCCGAGGCGTGCGACTTGAGTGGAGGAAAACCTTAAATTTTAGGACTTTAAGCAATAATTTGGTTGTTGGGTTTTTCTTTTTTTTTATTATTCATTGAATCACATTGTTAAAATGCCATTGCTTTATTCAAAAACAGGATATTAATGTAATAACTGTTAGTGCTGAAAATGCACAAACAATTTCTGATTCAGTAACTGGTTCGGTCTGGAAAATGCCAGAAAATAGACCAAAATCTAGATCTGCGCTTTCCTATGTAAAAGCAGTTGTTTGCAAATGATTTTTTTTAGATGAAATACAAAGATCATCTGTATGCTTGCTTGGAGAACAGCCGAAATTGGAGAATATTTACTGTTGAGACGTCTTTGAGTTGCAGGTGATTATTTTTTTCCGGTCAGCAATGGAAGGCATTGATCAGCATATGTCGATTACATTCTTTTTCATGAAAATCGACCATCTAACTTCATTCATCACGATAAACCACTTCAACATATTTATTCACACAGAACAAACAGTTCAATTGTGTTGTTCACAGTTTAATTTCAGTCATTACAAAAACTATAAAACAAACCTACAAACAATACTTCAATGCATTAAAATAATCCACACGGGCAGGAAACGTACATTAAGATTAGTTTCGCGAACCGATAGTTGGTCAACCACCAACTAAACTTCATGTCAGTTCAGCATTTCCATTGAGAAGACAATAAAGTAATAGACAATACGGATACTGGTGCTTGAGTATTAAAAATTAGATGATTGGGAATTGGTTACAACAATTACTATAACGAAGAGCTTTGGAAAATTACTGACAGTGAACTTGATTTTAAATGCTGAAAAGACCTTCAAGATAAGGGGAAGCATAGATTTGAACTTGGATTTAAAACTGACAGTTGGGCTGACTTCACTTCTTTTGCTATCTTATTCCACTTGCGTGCAGCATAACAGCTACATGCCGCTTCACCGTGTTTACTTTCAAACCTGTGCTCCACTAAGACCTCAGAGCCCTACTGGGTTTACTCAAGTAAAAATAAAAACTATTTTGTAAAGCTACTCTGTCAAGTACAATGTTTCTCAACAGTTGCTTGAGTAAATGTAAGACTAAATTTGGCTCAATTCTAGTCACCATGGCTTATGACTTGCACATATTATGTGGCTTACTCCCAATTCTGGGTCCTTATACATATACGTACATCAAATATATGTCCAGATCCACCCCTTTTTACTGTCTAACAGGTGAATGGACGCAACATCCTCTCCGTTGATTACGACCGCACCCTGAGGATGGAGAAGATTTACGACGACCACAGGAAGTTTCTACTGAAGATCATATATGACACAGCTGGGCACCCTGTGCTGTGGGTGCCCAGCAGTAAGCTGCTGCCGGTCAACGTGAGTCGTACCAGCAGCGGTCAGATTAGCACTCTGCAAAGAGGTCCTACAACAGAGAAGCTAGGCTACGACACCCAGGGCCGCTTGGTGTCTCGGGTGTTTGCTGACGGGAAGATATGGAGCTACACTTACCTCGAGCGGGTAAGTGAGAGAAGCTTATTATCACTGATGGACAAATAAATCGTAAAAGTAAAAAAAAAAATAAAAAATAAAAGACCACACAAGCTCTGACCATGTGGAGCTGAAGGATTAAAGTTTTTCCTGTGTCATGACGAGCCGTCAGATTTGGCTGCCATCCTCCATTCCACCAACAAGCGATGACAAAAACAAAAATGTTTTCACACACATGTAGGTGGTTGATTTGGTATCAATCAGACAAATGTGAAAATGGATGCGTCCTTCACGCCAAAATGGCAGACTTCATGTGTGTTTTCGAGCATGGCTTCTTGAGATTTTTTTTCATGGGTATGATGTTAGATCTGACTACTAAATTTCATGTTGTGATGTGAAACAAGCTTAAGTGGCTGATTTTTCAGAACATTCGAAACACCTGCAATGAGCACATTCTTTTATTTTGTTAAGTTGTGCCTGCTTAATAATAGAAATAGCCCTTTTAGGGAAATAAGACAATTTTTACTTTAACTTTGTTAAACAGTAGTTGTCTTTTTTTCCCTTAATTTAACAAAAACAAAACAAAATACTCATTTTACCAAAATAAATACTAAACATGAAAACAAAAATATCCTTCTCATTTGTACAATTCCCCTTTTCAACATCCCCTCTGAAATCACTAAAAAATATATCAGAAGAGGAGTTAAGAACCATTTTAAATACTGACACAAGGGAGCACAGGAATGCGCAGTGCTGTTCTTCCACTAAAGGTGAATGCAATGTCTGAGTCATGCAAATATTTGAGGACGCCATTGTGATGTTCATTTACCATGTTGCGGTGTTCTGCTGTTAAACAGCTGCAAAGATCCCCGGGTAGACGGGAGCAAAACTGCACACAATCGAAACCTCCCGCGATTTGTCTTGTCTAATTGTCTGTGTGCGGCTCTCCTGGACTGAAGCTGTGAGCACACTGTGGCGTCGTGCATGCGTCTGTTTCCTGACACAATCATCCATTTTGAATGCCTGTGTTTTGGGATAGACGGGTGCTGACGCTTATGTATGGGCACACCTTAAGTTCAGAGGAGCCAATCAGCGCATCGTATATGCTGACGCTTATGTATGGGCAGACCTTAAATTCAGAGGAGCCAATCAGCGCATCATTATCGCCGACATGCCCTGCTCAGCCAGGGTCTCCAGTTAGTCAAACATTATACAACACACAGTCGCGCTGCTGCGGTCCTCTGCAATACATCTGTTAGTGCATGCGAAGAATACAACGGATAATTTTAACAAACGATTGCGGTAATGCGCAGATTATAGTCCACAAATATAAAATGTATAACGTAAAAATCACTTTATAAATTATTATTTCATACAATTTGCCGACGGTCCGGACAGAGGAGGTCCGGACAGAGGAGGTCGTGGTCCGGTAGTGGATCGCGTTTCGCCAGTTGAGGCAGGCTGGTCTAGGACAAAGGTGCAAAAGTGTGACTCTCCTCAAATGTGTCAAATTTTGATAAGAAATGATCATCTGAGTAAAGTTACAGCACAGAGTATTGTTGGGGTGAAGAATCAGATTTTACAGCATTGTAATGGCCACACCTAAACACACAATATATTTTATGATTTAGAGCAGGGATGCCCAACCTTTTTTGACCAAAGATCTACTTTTTGATCAACCAACCTCCCATGATCGCCCCGTTACCACACACATGCACATACGCACACATGCCATGATGAGCAACAGCCATAACGGCCCTGAACGAAACAGAAAAATAGACTGCCTACCTAAGTGGGAGACCTAACGCGGATGCATGCAGCGCACTTTTGCAGCCCGTTAACTATCGTAGCTCATGTGTACCGTTTTAAAATGCTTCTCTCGGCCCTTCAGATTCCCATTCTTTGCGAGTGCCACCAGTGAATTGTACACGAAATAAACTTTGAATGATAATAATGACAATAAAAGGTATATCGCAACAGCTCTGATTGCAAGCTGCAATTGCTGACTGCTGAGCGCAAACAACTTCCGGTGATGTAGGTCACGCGCAACCGTAGGTTAAAGGTGACCTGCTATATTTTATTTATTTTTTTCAAATACTGTTTGTGAAAGTGAGACTTATAGGATGATTAGGGGGCAGTGCGCATCAACACAAAAAATATGTGAATAACATGCAGAGACACACAAATGTTTGGTTTTTTTTTTTCCTCTACACCAGTGGTTCTAAACTTGGGTTCGATCGAACGCCAGGGGTTCGGTGAGTCGGTCTCAGGGGTTCGACGGAGCCTCTGCCATGCAGGGTGAGACACACTCGACTCAACATGTTAATTAGTTGTGACACGCCCACTTGGCCATGACTGGCTGCAGATGATCACATGACATTGCTTGTCAAATCAGTGCTGTGGGGAGTTTAGTTCGCTTAGTAGTCAACGTGTGACTGTCGGGATAGTACGTCGTACAATTTAAAAAAAAAAAAAGTATACTTATCTCCTGAAATGTTATTTACTTTTTTGTTTTTAATAAATGCATTTTTTTATATCTTGAATTTGTAAAAAAAACAAACAAAGCGATTGGTCGCAGCAGGAAATAACATCAGGACGAAGGGTGAGGAGGGGCAGTACAGCAGGTTGGCAGTTATATATATATATATATATATATATATAACATTTTTTTTTTTCACTCATGAAGGGTTGGTGAATGTGCATATTAACTGGTAGGGTTTGGTACCTCTAAAAAGGTGAAGAACCACTGCTCTGGCAATTGGTTGTTCAATGAAAAATGTTGATTTTTGCAAACTCTTTTGTATTAAACAGTTGCATCCGTGCCATACAACTGATGAAATATCAAAGGTGTCACAGTCTCATCTAGGTTTTAAAAGTGACTCTGAGACTTAAATTACAATAGAAGGGTAAACTCAATAAATTGCCATGGCAATACAACAGCGAGTCAAAAATCATTTTCCTCTGCTACTAATTCTTTGAATTGGGCTGCCTGCATGACTGTCAGACTGTACTAAGGCACGAATATGAGACCACTAATTTAATGGTAAAGAGGTCACTTGTTTGAACTGACTCCAATGTCAGTGCCTCACCAGCCATGAACCTTACTGCATGTCACGAAGTTGCACTGAGTCATGGAACGTAGCCTTGTTGTTTGTAGTGCTCTTATTTTTTTTTCTTTTACTCACACGCACTTATGCTTTTGGGTCCTCCTGCTTCCACCATGCCAATCCGATGTCGCTGCACACGGAGAAATGAATCATAGTATTTAGTTGAAGAGTGCGAAGAATAGCATTGAGAGGTGGAATCAAAATTAATTTGTTCAGCAAATAAATTATTACTCATTTAATGGACAAATAGGAATGGCGGCAGCTGATATGAATCCAATTACCGATAAAAGAAAGCGCAGAGAGTGACATTGGAATTGTTGTGGGTCTGCATTTTAATTAAAAAAAAAAAAAAAATCAGCTCTTGTAGAGAATATACAACAGGTAAGATAGAAAAGTCAAGAGAGCCAGCTGTACAAAAGCAATAACTTTGGAGACAACACCCCAGTGACCAAAACCGTTACACACACACACACAGAGTGGTGAACTCTCTCTCTCTCTCTCTCTCTCTCTCTCTCTCTCTTTCTCTTTCTCAGTCTCGATCTCACACACACACACACACACACACACACAGAGTGGTGAACTCTCTCTCTCTCTCGCTCTCTCTCTCTCTCGCTCTCTCTCTCTCTCGCTCTCTCTCTCTCTCGCTCTCTCTCTCTCTCGCTCTCACACACACACACACACACACACACACACTCACCACGCCATATAGCACTCCGGGGAAAACCCGCAGGAAACATCAGTTGCATTACAATGCCCAACTTTTATAATCAGACAGTGAATCTTAGACCTGGCTCATAAGGTAGCAAGAGGTGATCGGAAGTGTCTTGTGTTTCCCCAGTAGCCGAGTGGGTGATAGGCTGGCCTCTGTCATCTATTAAGCAATCCTATTAACTGAAACTCAAACACCATGCTTCATCATTAAGCTATTACAACTCTGATGTAATCTTGTCTGTTTTATGAATTAAATTACCTGTGTCCTACAAGAATTTAATAGACTCTTTGCAAGAATTTATGACAGCGGCGGGGCGATCATTGAAAGGAAATGAGTAATTCCTCTGGGATTGAAAATGAAACTACCTTGTTTAAGATCGCGCGGGTGAATCGGGAGGCAATTCACATGATTCTGCCCTCCAACAAAAGGGACATTTGCAACGCATTTGGGAAGGGAAATGATTTTAACTACACTCTTGTATACCTTTCAAGAGAGGCCGATAACCCATGCAGCCTCAGAAATTAGTTGCATGTTGAATTTTCATACAAACAACAGTTTACAGATAAAGTCGACTGTACCCTTAGAGCAAGTAAAATCATAACAAAGATCGTTTCAAACACTTGTCTTCTTCACCTGTCTTTTACAGGAGTTCACGACGAGGGCATGACAACTTACTTGAGCAAAATAACGTGAAAAATCAGAGAGCTGCAGACATTTCTGTTGCCAAGCTTCGAAGAAGAATAAATAGCCCCGAGGCATGACTTGATGAGGAATTTTACCCGGGTCGGACAGAACCTGGTACACATTCATATTTCACCTATTGTTCTTTTTGGGAACATCTCTCTCTCTCTCTCTCTCTCTCGCTCTCTCTCTCTCTCTCTCTCTCTCTCTCTCCCTCGCTCTCTCTCTTTGTGAAGAAACCATTTGCAGGATTTAAAAGAGAATTGCAAAACAAAGAACACAGAAAAAAAATTACATCCAACAGTACCCAAAACAGGAAAGCTACTGGATGATTTTCAATCAATTTTAACCCGAGTGGTGAAAATAGTTGTGCTGTGTAAATATTGCTCTGCTTGGCCCATTTAGCTGAAGCTGTGAAATCCACTACAGGTACACCGCTTTCACATTAACTTGCAAAGGTAATCTTGGGATAAGAAGACTCACCTTGTGTGGCATAAATGTATTTTATTCTACAGAAATGTAGTCATTATATTTTGTTAATATATTTCAAATGATTTATTCAATCAGTTTAGTTAAATCACCTCTTTACAACACTTTTACAAACCCCATATTGCAGGTGCCTGCAAGCTAGTTCCAATTATCAAAGGTAAAGCAAGACTTAATCTACATCTCTACTTAGTGTCATGTTGTGTTTGTGTCTGAGTTCCAGCTGGAG